CTATGAAAAGAGGAGGAATGTCCTTAGCTAGAAGGCATATAGCTCGAGCAAATATTCCAGGCTTAGAAGGATATGACAGAAAAAAAGTGAAAAATGGTTGCTCTATTTGGATGCCAATAATCTTTATGGTTGGGCAATGAGTCAATATTTACCAACCGGAGGATTTAAATGGCTATCAACAAAATCCCTCGAAGCTACTTCCCCATTAGTGCAGAAAATTTTATCATTAAAAGAAAAATCAAGTCGAGGATGTTGTTTAGAGGTTAAGTTATCGATTCCAAAAGAATTACACCCAAATTTCGAGACTATCCGATGTGTCCAGAACGAAAGAATGTACCATATGACTGGTATAGTTCAAAACAAAAAGAATGGGCAGGTAAACAACATTCAGATACAGAAAAACTTATACTAACTCTTCATGATAAAGATAACTATGTTATACATTATAGAAATTTACAGCAATGCATAAAAGAGGGATATGTTCTCAAAAAAGTATATCAAATCCTAGAATTCGAACAATCACCATGGCTGGAACCTTATATAGCAATGAATACTCAACGACGTGCAAAAGCAAAGAATGCATTTGAAAAAGACTTCTGGAAATTGATGAATAATTCAGTATTTGGTAAGACTATGGAGGATGTGAGAAAGCAAGTAAATATTGATTTAGTACGACAGGTAGGAGAAGAGCGACGATTACGCAGACTAATTTCAGATCCTGCATTTGTTGGTCGTAAAATATTCTACGGAGCTAATCTAGTAGCTGTGCATCGAAGACAGACTAATGTAAAGTTAAATAAACCTGAATATGTAGGAGCATGTATTCTCGATCTTTCTAAATATTATATGTATGATTTCTGGTACGGATACCTTAAAAAGAAATATGGAGATCGGGTGAAACTTTTATATACTGATACAGATTCATTAATCATAGAAATTGAGACTGAAAATATTTATCAAGACATGATAGACGATTGTGATTTATTTGATTTTAGCGATTTCCCTGAAGATCATTGGGTTATAAAGAACCTTCCAGAAGATCCGTGGATAATCAATGAAGAAGGTGAACGTCGTGTCTTAAAAAATACTAAAGTTATAGGTAAGTGGAAGGATGAAATGGAGGGGATCGAGCTATTGGCTATGCAGGAGTTCGTGCAAAATGTTATAGCGTTGTGTGTGAAAATTCACGAAAAAATATGATCAAAGCAAAGGGTCTTAAAAAGTCTCTTATCAAGAGAGAGCTCACTCATAAAATATTCGAGGACTGCGTTTTAGAGGGAAAAGAAGATCAACCACGAACCGCTCAATTCCTTCGAAGTTACAGACATCGAATGTATAGAATAAAGCAAACAGTATATGATAAATATAAATAACGAATATAATGGCTCCACTGAATATGAAAAAGCAATCCGTTTCTTAGAGTTAGGTTGCAATTGTGGTTGTTCGAAAAAGATTCCAAGAGAAAAGTTTGCCGAATTACGTGAGGCATTTCAAGCCCTCTCTAGATCCGAACAAGACATATTTGTAATGGCTCAACTAAAAGCAATGAATGGTGGGGAGATAACTGCCAGTCGACGTCTTAAAAAGAAAATGCGTACTAATAAGCGAACGTTTTACTACTGAGATCGCAATACGCCGCTTTGTCAGAAAACGTATCTCAATATGTTAGGAATTGGTCGCACTCATTTGGAAAACATCCGAAATCACTTGGCGACGAATGGTATAATACCGCGTGTTCATGGTAACATAAAACGAGTGCCGCGATGGAAAACCAAAATAACCATTGATATAAGTGTTGCTACTGCCATAAAGAATTTTCTTGAAAACTATGCGGAAATTCATGGACTACCAAGTCCTGGTAGAAATGTCAATCGCATTACTCAATCGCTTACACTTTTGCCAGCTGAAACAAGTTATAAATCGGTCCATCGTGATTTTATTACAGGTCTTGAAAACGATAGCACATTGAAATTGTTAAAATATGATGCGTTCCGCAAGTTATGGCACCAATTAACGCCTTATATTCAAATCATAAGTCCAAGAACTGATTTATGTGATACTTGTCAACATTTTCGGAATGGTTTACAATATAATGCTCGTAAGGAAGAAGAAGCAAAAGACTTACTAAAGAAATTCAAAGAACATTTAGTTAAGGCTAAATTAGAGCGAAACTATTACAACAAAAATACGAAATTAGCAGAACAACAAAGGAAATTGGTAGATGATAATTACGCTGTAACAGGAGGCAAAGCTGATTATTGTAGCGTTGATGCTACTGCTCATTACAGTTATGATTGAGCACAAAATGTTCATATGCCCCATTCAGATCAACAGGTAAGTAAGATTTATTATCTTAGTCCGCGTAAAGTGCATTTATTTGGTATTCAAGATGAAGCAGTTCGCGAACAAATTAATTACGTTCTCGATGAAGACGAAATTATCGGCAAAGGTCCTAATGGCACCCTTAGTATGGTGTTCGATGGAATTAAGAGATTGAATAAAGGTGAAAAGCATTTAAAGATTACTTGTGATAACGCGGGAGGACAGAATAAAAATAATGCTACTATTTGATTTTACCTATATTTAACAATTCGCGGCTATTATGAAAGTATCGAATTAAATTTTATGATACCTAGACATACTAAATTCAAGTGTGATGGTAGTTTTGGATTAATTAAAAAACTCTACAGAAAAACAACAGTAGATTGTGTGGATCATATTGTTGAAGTTGTGAAAAAATCGAGTACAACTGGATTAAATAAATCTCAGTGTTATGACAATGGAAAAGGCTTTCAATATTTAGATCTTAACTCTGTGTTGGGGATTTTCTTTAAGAAATTGAATGGCATGCAAAAATATCAGCATTTTTTTTTCGAAGCAGCTAACCCTGGAATTGTCAAAGCTCAAATGGTCGCTAATGGTGCTTATACAGAATTTAATTTGTTGAAAGCTAGAAAAGCAAGTGTTTCTGAAATTACTAAAGAAATTAAATCCTTTTCAATTCCAGTACTAACCCCTCCTCCCTTGGATTACAAAAGGCAGGAGTATCTTTACCAAAACATTCGTGCATTTGTCAGAGATGAATTTAAAGACATTACTTGTCCAAAGCCAGTTTAATTAAATATTGTCAACATTTTTTCTATTTTCTAAAAATCAAACCAGTAGCCATAAGCAAAGTTAAAAAATTAGAACCATTGCTAGTCATTTCTTTTAAATATTTTTTAGATGTAAATACTTGCTTGAATTCCGTTTTAAGTTTATTACCAAAGTTTTTGATTTTGTTTTGCTTTTTAGGTAATCCAGGTCAAGGCTTAGTAGCTAGATATTGTTTTCATTTTTCTTGATATTCTTTAATTTCTTTGGCAAGAATTTTTTCAATCTCTTTTTGTTGCCTTGTCTTTCTTCTTAAATTTTTAATGCCAGGTATTTCAGTATTTAAAGCTTCTTGAATGTTGATTAAATATTTTTCTTTTTCTTGTTCTAAATTCTTTAGGTAGTCTTGAAACTGAACTAGGTTTGCTAAACGCTGGTTTCTTTCCTTATCATAATCAACTAGTCTTTTATAATTATTCTGTTGAGAAGAATGAGTATAATCACTGACCACCATTTCTTCAATTATTAGATTTAATTCGAAAGGTAAGTTACTTTGTTGATAAAATTGCTGGCGAGCTAAATATTCTTTAACTCAAACTGGTTGGGAATCTTTTCGCAGTTTCTGATTAACTTTATGAATTATCTCTCATTGTGTTTCGCTAAGATTTAATAATTCCTTTTCCGATTCAATTTGACTTTCTCATAATCTTTTTACGCTTTCATAGTAGTCATCAAAATCTTGGTAATTAGTATTGCCATGCCTCGGTTTTAATTTTTCCAACCTTTCTAATTCTTCACGAGTTTTAATAGCATTATTTATTTCTTCTCTTAATTTAGGAAAATCACTTTCCAAAATGAGCTGTTGCATTCTGCCTCGATTTTTTCCCGTCTCTTCAAGAGCAAAATTTTCAATTAGGGAATTGATTTTTGTTGGTAAGCCATTTTGGCGGTATTGCTGAAAGCGAGCCAGCATTTCTGAAGGCTTTAATTTTCGTTTCTCAAATTTTTTATTTAGTTCTTCAATGTTTTCTTGACTGCTTTTTAGAAATATTTGTTTATTATTTATGTTGTTCATAATAATTATTTTTATAACATTCAATTAAATTGCACTATTTAATTCTCTAATTTTCTTTTTTTGCTTGATTCTTGGTTAGAACTTTCTATTACTCTTTTAAAAACCCTTTCTTCTTGATAAATTTCATAAGTAATTTTTTCTTTATCAAGATATTCCTGGAGAATTTTGGTGTCATTCATTTTAAAAACATATGGAGCAATTTTTTCTCCTTGGGCTTTTTTTAGAATGCTTCTAATAATGCTGTAATTCTTTGGTTCCATGGTAGATTTAATGTAAATTAGTTTCATATTTATATTTTTATATAGAGATAATCCTATATTAATCATGTTATGGTTTATATTCATCACATTCTGGTATGATAAAGTG